TCCTAGCTCCCTCTCCACTCACTGCCCCCCACTCCCAATATGCTCAGGAGATCTTGTTCCTTTCCCCCTCTGTGAGGGACCTTGTATGAATTTTTAGGTTCCTCCTTGTATCCTAGTTTCTCTGGTGGTGTGATGATCATTTGCTCTATGTCTAATAGCCATATATGAGTGAGTACATACCATGTTCCTCTTTTTTTGTGACTGGGTTACCTCATTCAGGATGGTTGCTTCAAGTTCCATCCATTTGCCTGCGAATTTCAAGATTCCAATGTTCTTTTCCACAGAATAGTACTCCATTGTGTAAATGTGCCACATTTCTTTATCCATTCTTCAGTTGAGTGGCATCTAGGTTTCTTCCAGGTTCTTGCTATCACAAATAATGCTGCTATGAACATAGCTGAACAGATGTCTTTGTTGCATGTTAAAGCTAGGAAATACGGACACACTACCACCACCACCACCACCATCACCACCACCGCTGCTGCTGCGGCTGCTGACACCACCATCACACCACCAAAAACTAGCAGGAATCAATAATCACTGGTCATTGGTATTCCTTAATATCAATGACCTCCAACTCACCTATAAAAAGACACAGGCTAACAGAATGGATACGAAAACAGGATCCATCCTTCTGCTACATATAAGAAACACACCATAACCTCAAAGACAGACAATTTCTCAGAGTAAAAGGATGGGAAAAGACCTTCCAATCAAATGTAAATAAGAAGCAATCTGATAGATATCCTAACAAAATAGACTTAAAACTAAAAGTAATCAAAAGAGATGGTGTAGCACATTTCAATTCACCACAGGAAAAATCCAACAAGAAAAAGTCTCAATCCTGAATATAAATGCCCCAAATACAACGGCACTCACATTCATTAAAGAGATATTGTTAAACCTTAAACTGCACATTAAACCCCACATACTAATAATGGGAAACTTTAACACCCCACTCTCACCAGTGGGCATGTCTGTCAGACAGAATATTAACAAATAAATAAAGGATCTAACAGATATTATGACTCAATGGGCTAAACAGACATCTATTGTACATTCCATCCAAACACCAAACACAAAATAATAACTTTCTTCTCAGCACTACATGGAACCTTCTCTAAAACTAACCATATACTGGGTCACAAAACAAATATCAACAGATACAGTAAAATTGGAATACCTCATATATCGTATAAAATTACCATGCCTTAAAGTTCAAATTCAACAACACAAATTCTAGAAGGCCTACAAACACAACTGAACATTTTCTGTAAGGCAAAAGACACTGTCAATAAGTCAGCCTATAGAATGGGGGAAGATCTTCACTAACCCCACATTTGACAGAGGGCTGATCTCCAAAATTTATAAATAATTCAGCAAAGTAGACATCAAAATACAAAATAACCCAATTGAAAGATGTGGTACAGAACCAAACAGAGAACTCTCACCAGAACAATCTCAAAAGACATTTAAGTAAGTGCTCAATATCCTTAATCATTAGAGAAATGCAAATAAAAATGACTCTGAGATACTATCTTATACATGTCAGAATGGCTAAGATCAAAAATACTGAGGACACTTATGTTGAAGAGGATGTAGAATCAGGTGAACACTCCTCTGCTGATGGGAGTGCAAACTTGTACAGCCATTTTAGAAATCAGTATGGCAGTTTCTAAGAAAGCTGGGAATCAATTTACCTCAAGATCCAGTGATACCACTCTTGGGCATTTACCCAAAGGATGCTAAATCATACCACAAGGACATTTGCTCAACAATATTCATAGAATAATTATCCATAATAGCTAGGTGGGGAGGGATGCAGTGGAAAAGCAATAAAAAAGATACCTTAATAGAAAGAGCCACTATGGAGTTAGGAAGAAGCCTTGTCATAGGGTAACTCACAAGAATCCATGAAGAGGATCCCAACTAAGACTCCTAGCAATAGTAGAGAGGATACCTGAATTGGCCTACCCCTGTAACCTGATATAGCAACAATTATTATAGAGCCTTCCAGTAACTGATGAAACCAGATGCAGAGATTCACAACTAAGAACCAGGTTGAGTTCCAGGAATTCAGGTAAAGAGAGGGAAGAGGGAATATATGAGTAAGGGAGGTCAAGATCATGATGGAGAAATATATAGAGACAGCTGAACCAAGTTCATGGAAATTCATGAATTCTAGACCTACAACTGTGGAAACTCCAGGGAGCCAAACCAGGCCCTGCACGTGTGGGAGCCAGTGTGAAGCTTGAACTAACTGAGAGGTCCCTGACAGTAGGACCATAATAGAAACCTAGTACATGAACTAGCTTGTTGGAACCTATCCCCTATGATGTGATGCCATGCTCAGTCTTAACATATGGGAGAGGGGCCGAGCCCTGCCCCAACCTATTAAGCCATACTATGTTGACTCTTTATGGGAGCCCTTACCTATGAGGAGGGGTGGAGTTGGGGTGGGCTAGGCAGTGGTGAGGGGGTGGGAAGAGGTGAGGGGGTGGGAGGAGGGGTGGCAGAGAGAATTGTGATTGTAATGTAAAATGGAATTTTAAAAAACAATAAAAAATAAATCTTTACCCATTTCAGTATATTTTACTTCAGTAGTTAGTTGAGGAATTCTATATTTTGGGGGAGTCATGTTGCCTTTTCACGGTGTGTGTGTGTGTGTGTGTGTGTGTGTGTGTGTGTGTGTATTTTGTATGTATGTGTCTGTATGTGTGTATGTGTTGAGTGTATATGTGTATGTGTGTGTGCATGTGTGTGTGTCTGTATGTGTGTATATGTGTGTATGTATGTGTGCATGTGTGTGTGTCTGTATGGGTGTATATGTGTGTGTATTTTGTGTGTATGTGTGTCTATATGTATTGTGTATATGAATATGTATGTGTGCATATGTGTGTGTAGATATGTGTGTCTATATGCATTGTGTGTGTGTTTGTGTAGATGTGTTTGTAGGAATGTGTTTGTGTGTTTATACAGGTATACCTTCTGTTCCACTTCATTCTTAGAGGTGAGTGTACTTAAGACCATAGTTCTATTTTGTTTGTTTGTTTTTCTTTTCTTTTTATTATTTTTCTTATTTTACATATTTATCCCAGTTCCCTCTCCCTCCCATGTTCCCCAACCACCCCCCATCCCATTCCCCACCCACTCCACAGGGAAGGTGAGGCCTTCCAGGAGGGATCATCAAAGTCTGTCAAGTCATTTGGAGTAGGGTCTAGGCCCTCCCTCCTGCCTCTAGGTTAAGGAACTATCTCTCCATGGGGAATGTGCTCCTAAAGTCCTTTCATGCAACCATGGATACATCCTGGTTCCACTGTCAGAAGTCCCATAGACTGCCCAGGCCTTCTAACTGAGACCCACGTTCATCAGGTCTGGGACGGTCCAATGCTGGTTCCCAGCTATCAGGCTGCTCAGTTATGAGCTCCCCCTTGTTCAGAAGACCATAGTTCTTATGCAAGCCATTCTATGCCTGTGTGCATTCAAGAGATTTCAGAATATGAGACAAAATGAAAATAATAGTTAAATATGTTTTTAGTCAAAGAACATTAATGTTCATGAGGAGAATTTAAAGGGTCATACATACTATTGACTTAGAGCAAGGGAAGAAATTTGTAGGACGATCTGGACTGCTTAAAGATTTGGGTGTTTTTTTATGTGTAGGGGTGTTTTCCTGCTTGTATGTGTGTGCACCATGTGAGCACATTGCACACACAGGCCAGAACAAGGTGTCACAGCCCCTGAAACTGGAAATATGGGTGGTTGTTAGTCACCATTTGTGGGCTGGGAATTGAACCAGGCCCTCTGGAAGAAGGACCAGTGCCCTTAAGTCACTGAAGCATCCCTCCAGCCCAGCTCTTAAAATTTTTAAGAAGGAGAAAAAATGAGGCCATTTCACATGGTTCTAATATTTCAGATCATTTAATAAATGCTTTATGATTAGACACTGAGGTTAACACTTAAACACACAGACATTCATCATCAACTAGGTATTCCATGAAAAGTATTAATGGAATTTTAATATACTATTCAATATTTACATATAGAAAGTTCTCTGACTTGGAAACTACGTTAAGACAATTAATGTTTGCAAATTTATTTTCCTTTACAAAAGGTTTTAGGAACAGCCCTACAGACTATAGCTAGGATATCTGAATCTTCTTCCAATCCCCCAAGACAGCGCCCCTTACCAGCAGGAAGTAGTTTGGAAAAAACGACGCCCAAATTCCCAAATATTGTGTATAAATGTTTGTTTTCATTTAATTGGACTTTGTTATATAAAATTAAATAAAAAAATTATATAAAAAAACAAAAGGTTTTAGAAACAGTGACTTAGAATAAGAGTAAAGGATGCCAGCAGAGGGAGAGCCACTCATCAGAACATTTGGAAAGTACATCAACATGTCATTTGGCATGGCAACAGGTGCCATGGCAGGAACATGATACCTACATATGAATGTGTATTTTATATTACTCTTTCACTAGTATTCTGTACCAAGGAGCAAAGTGGGCTTTATGAACATGAAATTGAATATAGATTATGGATTATGAACTTACACAAATCTAAAAGTAGTACTACATTGAAGTCTCTACTGTAAGAAGAGTTAAGGCAGCAATACAAAAAGGTGAACAGAAAATTGGTTAAAAAAGAAAAAACATGGTCTCAGAATTTCTTCCATAGTAAAATCACATCAAGGACTTCATTAAGTGCAGTTTATCCCATAGTATCAGCACAACTCATGGCTGTATAAAATAAATGAAAATCTAAAGATTGCCTCTAACGTAATACTGGGAAAAATACTGAAAAATTGGAAAATATCAGATATTAGATGAGGAAAAGCTTACTAACAATGCCACAGAAAATCAGTAAAGCTGTCAAAAGAAACAAAACCCCTAGGAAATAAGTGGAAAGAGGAAATTCTCTTGAATTATTTGATTAAAGAATTGTGATGCCTGGATTTGCTGCCTAGACCATAGGCACTTCTTGGTGAACGTCTCTCTCATGGTTTTCTTCTGAAGAGTCTTCTGAGAGCTCCCATCAAGTCCTTATTCCTCAGACTATAGATGAATGGGTTTAGCATAGGGGTAACCACACTATACATCAAGGATGCTTATGCAGTTGAGTGTGAGTTTTGGGTAACAGAAGAACTAAGGTACACACCCAAGAGTGTAGAATAGAATAATGAAACAACTAAGAGATGAGATGCACAGGTAGAAAATGCTTTCCATTTCCCCTGTGATGATGAGATTGCACGTATGGAGGACACTATCTTAAAATAAGAGTAAAGGATGCCAGCAAGAGGACCACCTCCCAGCAGTACAGCTGCAAAGTACATCACCATGTCATTAGGAAAAGTATCATTACAGGCAAGGAGTACCAGCTGATTAAGCTCACAAACGAAGTGAGGAATTTTCAAGTCAGTACAGAAGGACAGCCGTAATGCCATTGAACTCTGTAGCAAGGAATTCAATGCTGTTGTGGCCCAGGACCCAAAAACAAGCAACCCACAGAGGTGGCGGTTCATGATGATCGTATAGTGCAGAGGGTAACAGATTGCCACATACCGGTCATAGGCCATCACTGCTAGAAGAAAGTTGTCCAAAACTCCAAACAGTATGAAAAAGTATACCTGGGCAATACAGCCTTCGTAAGTTATCGCCTTGTTCTGTGTCTGTATATTCACTAGCATCTTTGGGATGCTAGCAGAGGTAAAACAGATGTCAGCAAAGGACAGGTTAGAAAGGAAGAAGTACATGGGTATGTGAAGATGGGAATTTGCAACTGTGGCAGGTTCCCAAGCAGAGTGACCAGGTACATAAACAAAAAGAAAAGGTTGCCTTTGAACTTCCTGGGTCTGTTCTGAGCACAATGAACCACTCAGGACCACCAGATCTTTGGACCCCATTGCCTGCCCTTTGTCAGAGGAGAGATCACCAAGAGAGCTTGGATCATCCAGAGTTGCAGACATGGAACTCCTGACCCACATACACCCACCAGGAGAGCAGTGGAGAGAGAGAGACTGTATTTGCACCCACTAGAAGAAGCGATGGGAAGATGGCAATACAAGAAAACACCTAATAGAAAGACCAGAATGACACCACCAGAATCTAGGGACTCTACACCAACCAGATCTGAACACACCTAAGCAGATGAAGCGGACCAGATCAACTTAAAAAATAACTTCATAAAAACAATAAAGGCCCTAAAAAATGATATGAGAAAATCCCTTAAAGAAATGTAATAAAAATCAACCAGCCTCTGCTGGAGTGCCAAGCCTCTACAGACAACCAGCCTATCCATGAAGAACCATCCTGAGTCCCCCACCTGCCTATTCTTTGGTCCCCATCACTGAGCTTCTGCTAGAGGTGAGTCTGGGACCAGTTCAGGTTGAATCCTCCCCCCACCCTTCCCTGGCAACTCCCTGGGTTAGCCCCAAACCTCGCTCCCTCTATATTCTGTCCCCAGAGAGAACAGTTCTAGTACTCTGATCCACAAACCCACCCACCCAGAACCTATTTTCCCCCCACCCTGTGCCTACTGAGCCAACTGCTCCACTGCTTTGGTTGAGCACTGGGCCAGAGAGCAATTCCAACAACCCATCCACCTCTGGGGAACTTGCTGGATCTGCTCTGAGCACACTAGGCCTGCCACTCAGGACTACCCAGAGTCCCTGACTGCCTGGTCCTTGACCCCATTGCTGGGCCTCTGCCAGAGCATTAGGCCCCCCGCCAGAGACCCACCTATAAACACGGGAGCACCCTGAATCCCAGTCTGCCTGATCTTTGACTCCATGGCCAGGCCTCTGCCAGAGGAACACTGTGAGTCCCCACCTGCCTGATCTTTGACCCCCATTGCCTCGCCTTTGCCAGGCACAAGGCCTCTGCCGGAGACCTGCCTATCCACTTTGGGACCACCCTGAGTCCTCTCCTGCCTGATCTGTGACCCATATTGCTGGGTCCTACTGGAGAAGAGACCTCCTAGAGAGCTTGGACCATCCAGAGCTACAGGTATCAAACTCCTGACCCACCTAAGTCCACTGAGAGAGTAGAACAGAGAGAGAGCATACACTGGAAGAAGTGATGGGAAGACGCCAATACAAGAAAACACCTAACAATAGAAAGGCAAGCATGACACCACCAGAATCTAGGGACTCTACACCAACTAGACCTGAACATGCCAAAGCAGATGAAGCAGAAGAGAATGATTTAAAATATAACTTCATAAAAATGATAGAGGCTCTCAAAGACAATATGAGAAAATTTCTTAAAGAAATGGAAGAAAAAGCAAACAAAAAATGGAAAAAACAAACAAATCTCTTAAAGAAAGTTAAAAAAGCAAAGTTCTATTTTTGTTTCCACAGAAAATGAAAAGCTGTGGATTCCTTCAGACTAATGTGGTTTGATCAAGCCAGACCACCTGAAACAGAGTATCAGGTGATCATACATTCAAAACAGCAGAACAAAGCAGCCTTACAGACTACAGCCAGGATGTCTGCATCATAGAATCCCCCATGACAGCGCTCCTTACCAGCAGGAAGTAGTTTGGAAGAAACAATGCCCAAATTCCCAAATATTGTCTATAAATGTTTGTTTTCATTTAAATGGACTTGACTATATAAAATAAATAAATAAATAAAATTTAAAAAATGAAGGAAAAACTCAAACCATTCAGGACTTGAAAACTGAAATAGAGACAATAAAGAAAAAGTAAACTGAGGGAATGCTGGAAATAGAAAAACTGGGCAAACGATCAGGAGCTACAGATGCAAGCATAACCCACAGAATACAAGAGATGAAAGAGAGAATCTCAGGTGCCGAGGATAAACTAGAGGAAATAGATTCATCGACCAAAGAAAATCTTAAGTCCAACAAATGCTTCATACAAAACATCCAGAAAATGTGGGATGCCATGAAAAGGCCAAATCTAAGAATAATAGGCATAAAAGAAGGCAAATAAGCCCAGTTCAAAAGTGCAGAAAACATATTCAACAAATCCATTGAAGAAAACTTTCCCAATATGAAGGACATGCCTATGAAAGTACAAGAAGCATACCAAACATCACATACCCCCCCAAAAAAAAAACAAACAAAAACAAAAAACACCGTTCCACACATAATAATCAAAACACCTAACATACAGAATAAAGAAAGAATATTAAGAGCAGTGAAGGAAAAGGACCAGGTAACATATAAAGGCAGACCTATCAAAATTACACCTGACTTCTCCATGAAAACTCTCAAGGCCAGAAGGTCCTGGATAGATGTTATACAAGTACTAAGAGTCCACAGATGCCAGCCCAGGCTACTATACCAGCAAAACAATCAATCATTATAGATGAACAAAACAAGATAAAATTTAATGACAAAGCCAGATTTTCACAATACATATCAACAAATAAAGATCTACAGAAAGTTCTGGAAAGAAAATTCCAACCCAAGGAAGTTAACTACCCTCACAAAAACATAGTCAATAAATAATCCCACTTCACTAGAACCTAAAGGATAAAGCAGAGCAAATATATTCAGAATTCCACCACCAACAACAAATCTAAAAGAAACAAGAATTAACAATCAATGGTCCTTACTTTCCCTCAACAATAATGGTCTTAACTTGCTTATAAAAAGACACAGACTAACAGAATGGATATGAAGACAGAATCCATCCTTCTGTTGCATACAAGAAACACATCTAAAGACAGACATTAACTCAGGGTATAGGGTTGGGAAAAGATCTTCCAATCATATGGACCCAAAAAGCAAGCAGGTATAGCTTTCCTAATATCTAACAAGTTACACTTCAAACCAAAATCAAACAAAAAAGATGAAGATGGTCATTTCATATTCATCAAGGAGAAATCAATCATCACAAAGTCTCAATTCTGAACATCTATGTCCCAAATACAAATGCACCCACATTCATAAAAGAAACACTACTAAAACTCAAAGCTCACATAAAACATCACACACTCATAATGGGTGATTTCAACCCATTTCAACCAGCAGTCAGAAACTTAACAAAGAAACAAAAGAACTAACAGAAGTTATATCTCAATTGGGTTTAATGAACATCTATAGAACATTCCATCCAAACACAAAAGAATATACCTTTTTCGAAGCTTCACATGGAACATTCTCAAAAATCCACCATATACTAGGTAACAAAACAAACCTCAATAAATACAAAAAAAAAAAAAAAAAAAAGCGGAATAGTCCCCTGTATCTTATCAGACCACCATGCTTTAAAATTGGCATTCAACAACAACACAAATTGCAGAAACCCTACAAACTCATGGAAACTGAACAATGCACAATTGCACCATACCTGGGTCATATTACACATTTCCTAAAATTCAATGAGAATGAAGACACAACATTCCCCAACTTATTGGACACCTTGAAAGCAGTGCTATGAGGGAAGTTCATTGCAATAAGTGCCTATATGAAGAAAATGGAGGATAGTCACATTACAGAATTAATAGCAAAACTGAAAGCCTTAGAACAAACAAACAAACAAAAAAACAACTCACCCTAGAGGAGTAGATGCCAGGAAATAATCAATTTGAGGGCTGAAATCAATAAAGTAGAAACCAGAAAAACAATACAAGAAATCAATGCAACAAATTGTTGGTTTTTTGAAAAAATCAACAAGATAGACACACCGCTAACCAAACCAACCAAGCATCAGAGACATAACATGCAAATTAACAAAATTAGAAATGAAAAGGGGACATAACAAGGGACAATTTTCAGGTCATACTTTGTAAACCTGTACTCCACAAAATTTGAAAATTCAAAGGAAATGGACAAAATTCTGGATAACTATCACTTACCAAAATTAAATCAAGAACAGACAAACAACTTAAATAGATCCATAACCCCATAATCCCTAATGAAATAGAAGCCTCTCAACCCAAAAAAAAAAAAAAAAGACCAGGGCTAAATGGCTTCAGTGCAGAATTCTACCAGAAATTCAGGGAAGGCCTAATACCAATACTCCTTAAATTGTTTCACACAATAGAAGCAGATGGTTCATTACCAAACTCTTTTTATGAGGCCACAATCACCTTGGTACCCAAGCCACACAAAGAAACAACTAAGAAAGAAAATTACAGACAAATAGCCCTCATGAATACTGATTCAAAAATACACAATAAAATACTGGCAAACTGAATCCAAGAACATATAAGAGAAATCATCCATCACGACCAAGTAGGCTTCATCCCTGGATTGCAGGGATAGTTCAACATATGAAAATCTATCAGTGTGATCCACCATATAAACAAACTGAAAAAGAATAATCTCATGATCATCCCCCTAGATGCTGAAAAAGCCTTTGACAAAATTCAATACTCTTTCATGGTAAAGGTCTTGGAGAAATCAAGGATAACAGGAATATACCTAAACATAATAAAAGCAATATACAGTAAACCAACTGCCAACATCAAACTGAATGGAGAGAAACTTAAGGCAATTCCTCTAAAATCAGGAACAAGACAAGGCTGCCCTCTCTCTCCATATCTCTTTAATATTATACTTGAATTTCTAGCTAGAGCAATAAGACAAAAAAAGGAGATCAAGGGGATCCAAATTGGAAAGGAAGAAGTCAAATTTCCACTATTTGCAGTTGGTATGATAGTTTACATAAGTGATCCAATAAACTCTACCAGGGAACTCCTACAGCTGATAAACACCTTCAGCAAACTAGCAGGATACAAGATAAACTCAAAAAAAATCAGTAGCCCTACTTTTTTCAGATGACAAAGAGACAGAAAGAAATCAGAGAAACATCACCCTTTACAATAGCCACAAACAACATAAAGTATCTTGGTGTAACGCTTACGAAACAAGTAAAAGACCTATAAATCAAGAACTTAGTGTTGTTAAAGAAAGAAATTAAAGAAGATACCAGAAAATGGAAAGATCTTCCATGCTCTTAGATAGGAAGGATAAACATAGTAAAAATAACAATCTTGCCAAAAGCAATCTACAGATTCAATGCAATCCCCATTAAAATCCCACCACAATTCTTCACTGACCTTGAAAGGATAATAGTCAACTTTATATAGAAAAACAAAAGACTCAGGATAGCAAAAACAAACCTGTACTATAAAAGAACTTCATGAGGCATCACCATCCCCGACTTTAAGCTCTACTACAAAGCTATAGTCCTGAAAACAGCCTGGTATTGGTACAAAAAAAAAAAATAGACAGCTAGAACAATGGAATCGAATCAAAAATCCTGATATTAACCCAAACACCTACTAACACCTGATTTTTGGCAAAACAGTTATAAGCATACAATGGGAGGAGGAAAGCATCTTCAACAAATGGTGCTGGCACAATTGGATACAAAATTAAAGTACAAATGGATCAAAGACCTCAACATAAATCCAGCCACACTGAACATCTTAGAAGAAAAAAATGGAACAAATTGGAATAGGAGACAGCTTCCTGAACATAACTCCAGTAGCACAGACACTGAGATCAACAATAAATAAATGGGACTTCTTCAAACTTAGAAGCTTCTGTAAGGCAAAGAACACAGTTGTCAAGACCAAATGGCAGCCCACAAACTGGGAAAAGATCTTCACCAATCCTACATCTGACAGAGGGCTGATCTCCAAAGCATACAAAGAACTCAAGAAACTAGTCAACAAAACACCAAATAACCCTATTTTTAAAAATGGGGTACAGACTGAAGAGAGAATTCTCAATAGAGGAAATCAAGAAAGACACTTAAGAAAGTGCTCAACATCCTTAGCTATCAGGGATATGCAAATCAAAACAACTCTGAGACACCATCTTACTCCTGCCAGAATGGCTAAAATTAGAAACACCAATGACAAATCATGCTGGAGAGGATGTGGAGAAATGGAAACTCTCCTCCACTGCTGGTGGGTGTGCAAACTTGTACAGCCATTTTGGAGATCAATATGGCCGTTCCTCAGGAAAATGGGAATCAGTCTACCACAGGATCCAGCAATCCCCCTCTTAGGCATATACTCAAAAGATGCACATCCATGCAACAAAGACATGTGTTCAACTATGTTCATAGTAGCATTATTGGTAATCACAAGAACCTGGAAGCAACCTAGTTGTCTCTCAACTGAAGAATGGATAAAGATGTGTTACATTTACACAATGGAATACTACTCAGCAGAAAAAAACAAAAACAAGAACAAAACAAAAAAACAATGGAATCTTGAAATTCGCAGGCAAGTGTATGGAACTTGAAGAAACCATCCTGAGGTAACCCAGTCACAAAAAGAGGAACATGGTATGTAATCACTCATGTATGGATTTTAGATCTAGAGCAAAGGATCACCAGCCTATAATTCACACCACCAGAGAAACTAGGATACAAGGAGGATTGTAAGAGATTCATACAAGGTCTCTCACAGAAAGGAAAAGGAACAAGATCTCCTGAGCATATTGCAAGCAGGGGTGGGGCATTGAGTGGAGAAGGAACTAGAAGAAAGAGAAGGGAACAATGAGAGCATGTGAGACTAGAAAGATTGAGTCAGAGGAGGAATAGATGAGATTAAAAAAAAAAAAGATACAGAGATAGATACCATAAAAGAGGGAGCCATTGTAGGTTTGAAGAGAAAACTGACTCTAGAGAAATGTCCAGAGACCTGCAACTATGACCCCTACTAACAGTCTGAGCAACAGTGGAAAGGCTACCTTAAATGCTCTTCCCTGATAATGAGATTGATGACTAACTTATGTACCATCATATAGCCCTCATCTAGTAGCTGACGGAAACAGAAGCAGACACCCACAGCTAAACACTGAGCCAACCTGGAATCCAGATGCAGAGAGGGAGGAGTGATAACAAAATTGGGACAAGACCAGGCTACAGAAACCCACAGAGAGAGCTGACCTGAACAAGGGGGAGCTAATGGACCCCAGACTGACTCAGACCCCCAAAACATGGGTCTCAGTTACTAGGCCTGGGCAGTCTAAGGGGCCTCTGACAGTGGAATCAGGATGACTCTCTGGTGCACAAAAGTACTTTGGGAGCACATTTCCCATGAAGGGATACTCCCCTAATATAGATGCTGGCAGGAGAGCCTATTCCCTACTCCAAATGACTTGACAGACTTTGATTCCTCCTGTAAGGCATCACCCTCCGTGCGGAGTGGGGGGGGGTGGGATAGGAGGGTGGTTGGGGGTCATGGTAGGGAAGGAGGGAGGGAGAGAAGGAAAGGGGGAGGAAAGGGAACTGGGATCAATATGTAAAATAAGAAAAAAAATCTAAAAAAGCAAAAAGCAAACAAACAACAACAAAAAACCGACAAAAACAAACAAAAAAATGCTTCCAAAAATACCTCTGGGTTCATTTTGTATTGCCCTTGTACTGCTGGGGACTGCCCTTATATGTTGTTTGTATACACAGTGAGATTCTGTTGGAGAAAACTCTTTTTGTCTTTGTGAGCCTTCATCAATTGGCAATAGCTTTTGGGTTAGAGGTGGGGGCATGTGTCTACATCAGATCTCAGCATTGGAGCCCTGTCTGGCTAGGTCTGTGAAGGCCCTGTGCATGCTGCCACAGTCTTTGTGAATTCATATTCCTGTTTGTCTAGAATCCTTGTTTCCCTGGTGTCTCCCATCTTCATTGGTTCTTTCAATCTTTCCATTTCTTTTTCTGCAGTTCCCTGAGTCCTTTGGGGAGATATTTGTTGGAGACATCCTATAGGATTGCTTGTTCCAATGACCCTCATTCACTGCACATTATGCACATATTCAGTGTGTGTCTGTGTTTGTTCCCATCTCCTGTAGGAGGAAGCTTCTCTGATACTGGCTGAGATACTTATGAATAAAGCAGAATGTTGTTTGGAGTCATTTTACTGCTATATTCCTTTAGCATAACAGTGGTATTTTTTCCCTAGGTCCATAGCCTATCTAGTAGCAGGCTCTTGGACACCTGAGCACTGCTAGACTGGGTTTCATCTCATGGAGTGGCCCTTAAATTTAATCAGATGTTGTTTGGTTGCTCCCATAAGCACTGTGCCACTATTGTACAGCATGTCTTGCAGGAAGCTTCCCATTGTAAATCAAAGGTTTGTAGCTGGGTTGGTATTTACCTTTCTCCTCCATGTTCAGTGAGTTATGTAGGTGTTGCCTTCAGCAGTGAGACCTTACCATCAGTTTGTAGAGAACAACCAATAGACTTGGCAGTAGCCTGAACTGTTCAGGAGTTTCCATGGGGCCACTTTGGCTAACAACTCAATTAGATGTAACCCATTTCTGAAATTGCAAGTTTCATTTGATGGCAAGAGATTTCTAGTTAGATATTTGTCTTCCTCATTATTTGATTCTCCTTTATAT